ACTTGCTCGTGCTTGATCTCATTATATTCATGCTTGCCTTTGTCAAAAGCTGTACATACTTTTTCTTTTAATTTAATGTCGCCCACTAGGACTTTGTTATGCATATTAGCTGTAATATAACCAGACCGTTAGGCAGCTGTGCTGGTGCTCTTCTCTGTGCTAAGTGTTTTCGTTTTAAAATCTTTCGCTTTTGTAGCTGCTAAATACTTGCAATCGGCTATTGCCCTCTCAACTGCCATCTGCAGCAACATCAACAGCTGTCGAGCATGAACAGAGAACACATTTTTTCTGGAAATTTTTCGAATTTGCAATTTTTCTTTGCGCTGATCTCTCACATCATCATGCGCTCGTGCGCCACCGCCTAGTCCATCAACAGGCTACATAGACAAATTCGGTACTCGGTCTGCTTAATCAGCTTAAAAGTGGCGTTGTTGTTGCTTGCGTTCAATGCGCAAAAGGTTGTCTGTGTGCCGAAAATTGTGGAGAAAAATGAGAAAAAAGTTGTAACAAGCACACTTGTTAAGGCTTCCCCAATCTATCTATGCTATCCTCATCCAGCATCCTTGCTATATGTGTGTGTGCACTAGCTGTAAATCAATGTACGCTACCCCACGCACACACGCACACATGCAGCTGTTCGTCTTTGTGCACGAAAATGTCCTTCAGACACTTATTCATGTGCAAAGCATTCTGCTGACATTCATCAGCCTTTCATTTGAGTGGGCTTCAAGATTCATCCGCTGCCACTAACGTTATAGGCACACAGACAAACTCCACACACATACAAACACACATGTACTTACACCACATACAAAGCCCTCTAACATCGTAACTAATTTTCAAGTGCAGGCATGTGCGCTGATTCTAGCTTGTCTGCATTTGCTGTATTCACACGTGTCGCTTGCTCTACAAAAGCTTGCCATCAGTCATTGTTGACTTACTACTATTACACATACACGCATACACAAAAAATTGCCCATATGCTAAATATGGAGCACACTATTACTTGGCTAGTACAAGTGCCCAATCGGAAAATGAGGTCATTGATGGTGAGTACATCATCAGCATAGTTGTCCACAATCTTGAATAAACGAAGAGCTTAAATGCATTCTTAGGTGGCTTGTTAGGCATTTTTTAAATTGATTATGCAGGCGTTGGATTTTTTTTTATATGTGGGTAGCAACCTATTACATATCATATGAAGGCAAACTTAAATTTTAGCTGGACTACGTTAGCAGGAAACGGAATCGGTAATGCAGTATATAGGCATTGGATTTCAGACTTCA